TACAAGATTTATTTATTGATAATAATTTAATGTCATTTCTGTTAATGTTCTTTCTGTCATGTTATTTCCTCCCTACTCTGTTCACATGAAAGACGGTTCTTCCGTGTTAAATTAAGTTAGCGCATGCGCTGGTTCAAAGGTGAGCGTGCGGGTAAAAAGGGGGTGTTGTTGTGGAGGAACGGTGTTGAACCGTGTTGCATATGAGATAAAAAGAATAAAGCAAGTTAACGGAGTAAACGTCGTGTTTATTTGATTTAACATGGTAGCAGAGGATGGTTGAAGGATGGCAGCTAGTTATAAAGTTCTGCCGAAATTTGATGAAACCAGGCCATACGAGTGTTGGAAAAATTAAGTTAATATCTGGACGTGGGTTACCGAACTTGACAAAAAGAAACTAGCCCTCGCTGTTGCCTTGGGGCTTGAGGGGAGAGCCCGTGAAACGGCGATGGAAATACCTGCGGAGGATTTAGACAGTGATAATGGTATGGCAACGCTGATGGCTAAGCTGGACGATGTGTTCTTAAAAGAGGAAAAGGATCGCGCATATGAAGCGTATTCTTATTTTGATGGAATAACGAAGAATAGTTCGGTTTCCATGGCGGACTACATAATTGATTTCGAACAGCGGTACAATCGGATGAAAAAGTATAATATGACGCTTCCTGATGCTGTGCTGGCTTTTAAGCTATTGGACAGCCTGCCTCGACGAAAAAAACAGACAGTTAGTACTGACACACAGTTGTAGCATGGAGTTGAAGTTTTCATCCATGAAGTCGGTTCTAAAACGAATTTTCGGAGGAAAAACGACAGGCTCGTCAAACGGAATACAAGTGAACCAGGACGTGGCATTTTTCACCGAACAAAGACCACAAGGAAGAGGAAAACGGAACGGAACGGTGCAAAGTGGACAAACAAAGCATCCATTACCAGGGACTAATCCACTGGATAAATACGGTAAGAGATCCAGGTGTGCTATTTGCCAGTGCACATTTCATTGGGCTAAAGACTGTCCACACAAGAAAACCGAACAAGTAAGAATAACTGAAGATGCAAATATTGAGGAATGTAACATCACATTGTTTACAAAGGCCTCCATGTCAGATGCAGAGATATTCATGACTGAATCATTAGGATCAGTGATTATTGACACTGCATGTACCCGTACTGTGTGTGTGGGGAGAAATGGC